ATAAAGATATTACTGCTCTTATTGTTTAGAATTCATTCTTTTTTCTGACACATAATTATAATAAAATTATTTTAAAATATTAGCAATAGGTATTGTATATACTTCATAAAAATACAAGATTTCATATTTAGACGTCGATTATTGGAGGACACATCGCTCATTTGCTAATACTAAAAAAGAACATTTTTCAGAAAATTAATTTCAATGTTTTGAATCATTAAAATTTTGTGGTATCAATTTTTTAAATATATTCATTGTTTGTACAGGAATAAAAGTGTTTTTTAAAGTATTTCCTTTTTTTTGCAAATAAATGACAATTATTTATGTCATTGTTGTAGCAAATGAGCAACATAATGAATTTTCATGAGTTGTAACTTCAATATAGATATTACATGATAAACATTGTAATTAGAAACGTTATAACATTCACACATACGTAGATTTATAAAATTTTTATAAATAGTACATTTCTCAACTTTTCAGCTTTAAGATTAATTAATAAAAATTAATTTATTTAAAACACACACCTTCAAAATATATCTTTTACCAATGAGATGAGCGTAATTTATAACTTATACGCGTTACATGGATCCACTATAATTAAAAATATGTTAGAAAATGTAATTTTAAGACATATTAATTTTAAGATATATTAATTTATGAAATTGTTTTCTCTATTTTAAATTACAAAGCGATCACGTATGCGTAATGTTTACATCTTTATAGATGCGTACATGTATACACAGGTGAAAGAGAGTATTGATACAGACAGTATTACAAGATATTTTGTATAATCTCTATCGGCACTTGCATCGTTTGATCGTCGACGAGAACGATATCGAAGTTTTCCATGAATGAATTTAAGCTGGCCTCCACCTGGAGAACAAAAGCAATTAGTCTCTATATCAATATTTTACAGTCGTTACTAATCTCAAAATACTAACGTGCTCGTAAAGGAAACCGATTTTTAAAACGACCTTAGTGTCCTCTATTCCTTCTACCATATTAGCATCACCGATCGTATCGCCCATTAGCAATACATTTTGCCTCTTTTGAAATATCTTCAAATAATTCTTTTCCAATGCACACTCATTCTTGTTGTATACATGTATAGGCATGTCATTCTTAAATCCATCCAATTGACTTCCATTATACTTGAGAAAGTTAGAGAATATTTTTACATTATCGAAGAGAGCATTGTGATACCTCAACACAGCTTCCACTATGTCTCCCAAACCAGCGCTAAATATAATAATTGGTACTTTTACATTGTATAGCTTTTCAAAAAACTCTTCTGTACCATCGCGCAATATATTGTCGAATGCTTGGGCTATTTCTTCTAATTCATGAGGATCAAACTCGATGCCTTTCAGTAAATTTTGCGCAGCCATCATCCAATCACGCATAGCATCTGCCTTTTTATCCACAGACATTTCTGGGTCTATCTCTATAGGTCTGTATTTGTTGTATAAATCCTTAGCTTTGTCTAAATATTGTTGCGGTAATTGCTTGCAATGTCGGAACATACCTAAGATTAAATTTCAACATTAAGTTATCGTGTAGTTTTATAGAAATTGATTGATCATGATAAACATGTTTATTTGTAGAAATTTAAACAATTAAATCTTAATTCTAGATAACTTGCAAACTTAAGGAAAATCATAAATAGCGAGTTTATAAGTAGTTTATGATAAGAGACCAACTTTCTCTACTTTCTTAAGACCATAAATTAAACTATTTATTTACCAAAGCTACTGAGTACATGTCTGCCGTCTATGTGTTGCTTTGTAAGGGTTAAGTCGAAATCCGTGACTATCTGCACAAATAATTGTAGATAAATCAAATGCTGAATCAAAAGCCTAATCCTTACGAGAACTAAATGGAAATAAGAATCCGTACTTGCAGATTATTTACACCACCTTGCCGAATCGCATTTATCGTTTTCAGAACCGCGACCTTGTCCCTGATGTAAACATGTTTTGACCTCAAAGCGGGAAACTGTAAATGAAGAACATGTTTCACAATATACGTCGCCCAAAAAGTAGACTTATTCATTGATAAGAGCGATCAATTTACCTTGTCGATCGTGAGTTCGTTGTTCATCATCGTTGGCGGTGTGGAGTCGCGGGCAAATTCCAGAAACCCAAAACGACCGGACACTCTC